CCATTGAACAGTCTCGCTCTCCAAAACGCCAGGCCATCACACCCCAAAACCATCATCAAAACACTCCAATATATTCAACCCAACATCCTCTACAGCCTAGCCATGCTGCACAACCAATGCATGCAGGCCATCAAGGTCAAGCGACATCACCCTATGCTGCTGCCCAGCAATTTCCTATGAGTAATGGCCTTGTTCCCGCGTCGTGGTACCCCATGAGATGAAATTATCTTCATGATGGTGTATTAGTTTGCACAATTTTTGGCGTCAATGGGGGTTATGCATGGTGAGGTCATGATTATGATCAATGTCTTCATGATACATGATACCGGAACTTTTATGCCGAGGATATACCTCGTTGCTCTTATCGTGGTTGGTTGGCGTTTACTGGTTGATGAGTTATGCAACTGGTTGGTGAGTTATGCAAGTTTGACGTTCAAAACGTCAGTCAGGCAAAAAAGAAAGCGAAGAAAAAAAAAGAAAAAGAAAAAAGAAAAAAGAAAAGGCAAGATGGTGGTGAGTAGTTAAATGGTCATTTGACAATGGCTGTTTTTCTTTCTTTTTACCCGTTTAATTTTGATTATAACCAATTTCCCCCTTCCCTATCACTTCCTCAATTTCTCTTCTCCCCTTCTGTCTTATTATAACCTTTTTTTCTTCGGATTACTTCACTTCTTTCCATCCCTAGCTACCTTTGACCTGTGCGTCGAACTTCCACCTATTCCCAACCTTCTTCGGCCGTTCATTTTGAGCTATCTCTTTTATTATTGCTTCAATTGCTCCGGTCACTTTTTGGTCTGGTTTTAGATTTCATCAGACGGGCATACAGATGGAATACACTTTCGCGAGAAAGGAGCTACGTCAGGTTCATTGTCATGCTACTTTGCATCGGCTTGTCAACCTACTTTCCCCATTGATTTTTTTTTTTTTTTTTTCTTTCCAGTCGACCTTTCAGTTTCCTTGCTTTCTCATTCCCCTCGTTTTGCCACTATTAACGTCCTCTTTTGCTGCTTTGGCTTCTTGGTGCTATTCGGTCTCGGGGCATTGAAACGGAGAAAAATGACGGTGATTAACTATGGGCCCGGATCAGGTGTTTTCATACTTTTCATATGCATCAAGGGAGCTGGTTCTTTTTTGGTTGCCTTATATTGTATTGTTTCTGCAGACATTGCTCTTGTACTGCCATTAGCATTACTTACCTACTATCAATAATACCACATTGGCAATCTAGCCAGCCCACAAGACTTTAAGCAACAGGCTGAGCAAGTGTATGTGGTTGGTGGCAGTAGGCGGCTCTTACCGCGCAGTTTGGTTGTTGCCCTAGACTGCCCCTACTTTATCCAAAAGAGGAAATAAGAGACCACAACAGTATAAACATCAACCTCACTTCGCGCTTCTCACCTTACTCCTTTTCTTCTCTCTTCCCACACCAAAACAACATCAGCATTTACTCTCCTCGTGCTTGGAGATGCTGCCAGACCTTACTCTCTCCCTGCTATTTGTTGCTATCTACGTGGTCAGCCTACTCCTCGTGGACCTTGTAGCTCCTCGGCTCACTAGTGAGGCCGATAACGCGTCCATCGGGCGGCGGTTGATACTAGTTGTTTATGTGAGAGCTCCCCTAAAATATACAGGGGCCGATAGAAAGCTGATCTCTTGTGATATTCATTGTAGCTGCATCTCAACCCTTGATCGAGCCATCATGGCTACCAGCCTGTGTGATGTGGCCCTGAGAGGCGTTTGGAATGCCAGTACGGAGGGCCATCATTATGTCGACTTGGATATGACACTCCAAGTGAGTACTACTATGTGATTACTAGCACACCAAAGACCAACGAACTATGATCTAACGCGTTAGATAGATGAAGTCAGGGCCCGATAGTGTTCTCCCGGTACTTAAGTTAGACCCGGAGATGGAAGTGGAAATACTACACCAAGGTACCTATGAGCTGAAGCACGAGCCCAGTAATGAGCCCGATTACGGGCTGGGCCTATGGCCACACGACGAGGGCCCAGATGATCAAACGTATAATGGAGGAAAAGAAGAAGAATCGGAAGGCAGTGTCAGTATAACTTGTGAAACACCTTCTCGGAAGTTGATCACACGAGACATGAGAATATCTCCGTCTCCAGTCAAACGGCTTTTTCCACCAAGTCCAGACACTTGTGAGGGGTATGATGCCGATGACGGCGGTTGCGACTTTGATGACAACGACAGCAGCGGAAGCAGCGCAGGGGTTAGAGGTATTTCCATCGATGGCAACGACGTATTTGACGCTTCGGGCCATGAGGATTGCGAGCAACGAATGCAAGACAGCCCTGGAAATGCGCAGTCCATCACTATCAAAAGAGGGTTACAACCCCGCAGTAGCTTTCCAAAGTTCGACATTGATGCCTTGCAAGACATAGAGCGCATTGACGAAATTCCCAATGACAAGGAAAATGACGTCCCAAAAGGTGAAGTCGGATGCGAACGAAAATGCAGCCGAGATCATTTAATTGATATTACTCCCAAGCGTGATTCCACTGCACTTCTCATCTCCGCCTGCAGCCCCGACAAAGAGGTGGAGCCTGATACAACTAGCCATGGACATACCACTCCTCAGTCAAGAGTCCCTAATAAAACCTTTGTCATTCCTAAAAGAACGTTAAGGTCGCCTCAGAAAGGTGCTCTAAGCAAAATACCCATCAAACGGTTGCATAAAGAAGTATCGTCGGAGTCAGATGAACTAGTACGGGTAGTAAGTGTTGTCCGTCCAGAGAATACTCTTAGCCCTGCAAAGATGACGCATAAGAGAAATTCACCCCTTTCACAAATTGTTATGATGACCGGAGCAATATCGAACGCCAAGCCTTCGGGTATAGAACCAGATTATGAAGCAAAAGATGAGGACATCGATGCAACGAGTGTCGAGGAATCATCCTGTCATTGGCCTGATATGACAACATTAGAAATGGAAACACCAACAAAGCCTCAATTTTCCAGGAGTCTCCCAAACCAGGGATCTGAAATGCATCACGGCAATGAAGGATTCATCTGGCCAGCCGAAGGCCATAGAAGCGGAGCCATGCCATCCTTGGGCCAAGATAACCAGAATGAAGACTCTAGCAACGATCTATGTCTTGAATCGTCAAAGAACGAAGTGTATCTTACCCCTGAAGAAGCAACGTCCGGTAATTTTGACGTTAGTGAATTCTATGTTGACGATGACGAGCCTGAAGGTAGTAATGTCGAGGAAGACTACCCATATGAAGAGGAGAACAATACTATAAACCTCCCGAGCCCATCAACAGCTTCGCAGCGTAGCTTGAAGTGGCATCGTCCTGGGCAGTTATCGGAGAGAGAAGGCTTAGGCGAACCCCCAGTTTTAGAAGCATTTGGTGGCATGTTAAGAGTGCGTACGAGCTCTAAGGCTGTACCAGCCAATCTTGGCCTCATTTCAACCATACGAGTTACTTTGACAGGCGGTTTGAAACATGATTCGGAAATGTTCAAAGCGTCCCTGCCAGAGGATGACGGCCATATGAGCATTCAATGGGAATTGAGATTGAAGCCTCCTCAAGTTGATGGATGGGCATTGGAGTTATTTGCAATGCTTCCATTTGATGAATGTGACCCAGGATATGACAGTTATGTGGCAGAGCACCAGCCTTTGGAAGGCAGGGATGGCCTTGAAGAGAATGAGCACCAGGAGAACCCAGAAGAGGTACATGGATCCGAAATGGAGGTGCGACAGGAGGAAGCTAATGCAGGCCGTTGCCCATGCTGCTTATATCACTCAAGGCATTCGCCGTTGGTGAATATAGACAGACTTATGGATGTAGCCAATGGGCTTGCTCGAGAGTTGAAAGGGGCACTCCGCCATGGGCTGTTTAAGCCATGTGGAAAAGCAATTCGCTTTTTCGGAGATATGCTGCAAAAGTTCTGCGGGGAAGAGGGGCTGATACAGTTTATAGTGAAGTGCGTTAAGTTCACGATACTTGCCCTCCTTGTGTTGTGTGTCACTGGGTTTGAATGTAAAATTGTTGGATGGTCTGCAGATGCAGATTCATGGGAGATCAATATACGACCAAGATTTCTTCCCTTAATGCCCCAGAAGCCTGCGGTTTGCGGCGGGATGGAGGGTGCAGCTGGAGGACAGGCCGGGCAATCGGTTGATATCGCCGGAAAAGAAGTGGCCGGTGACAGATGGCCGTCGACGGCAGCGTGGGCCGTGCTTCAACCGGACAGTGGGGAAGCAACCAGCTATACTATTGGAGGGGCAAACTCCACGGAAAACGGCTCCCTGACGACGGCCGCGGATACGGCATCTACCCGTGCACCATCTGAGGCGCAGCTGGCAGCAGAGGATGGGGATGCACTGGTCAGCAAGCCTGATGCCGGAGCGGATGCGGCAGATGAAGGAACAAATGTCGGCAGTGGCAAGCCCGATAAGGCTAACGACGCAGACAAGGCGAGTCTGAGGGACAGGGTCGACTGGCTTCTTGGCTGGCGAGGGCCGCTGTTTGACTGAGGAGACCCCCTGAGAAAGACCGACACTGTATCCGGAGGCACTGACGTGGGGAGCTGTATCTCTTAGCTTGTATCCTTCTCCTCTAGTCACTCTTATTATTGTTCTCTCTTACTCCGTATGCTACGCAGTCAATTTCTACACCTCCTTTTCCTAACCCGGCTGCCGGCTCCTTTATCTCTTGATGTTGCGATAAAGAAAAAAAAGAATAAAAATAAGAGTAAATAAGGTTCGTTGTGAAAGCTTGGCATATATCACGTGGTACCATCCTCTTGGGCAGGCCGAAAAGGGAAAAGTAAGAAAAAGCGACTTCGACTTTCGATCTTTTTGACGCTCAACTTCTCGTCTTTCTTCCTGGTCATCGTCGCTCGCTGTCGTGTTGCTTTAATATCTTCGTCTTCTCTATCGCCCAGGATACGCGCAGTATAGCTCTCTCGACCAGCTGCTCTTCCGCCTCTTCGCTCCCTTTCCTCCTCCCCGTCTGTGTCCCCCATGCGAGGCTCGCTCTGGAGGTGAGTAATGAGTATCCAATAATAATCCCCACCACCTTCAACACCATCGACTCAACAGCTTCTTCCTCTGCCCCGATATTTGCTTTTCCCTTTGGTCCTGGCATTGGCCACAGAAGCTCCCGTGGCCCTACCAAAAAAAAACATTACTCCCCGTATATACGCATTCCTTCTTCTCCTCGTCTGCAGCCCAGGAAAAGAAACGAGCGGAGGGGCAGGGCCGTGGTGTCATTATTATTCAAGACAACACCCACGCTCTCCCTTCTGCTCTCTTCCTTTTCTTTTTCTTTATATCGGCATTAAACTATCTCCACCTTGGCAATTTTATGGGGAAGACGCAGCTCACCGTACGCCAGACGCACACGGTGTTTGGCTGCTGCTGCCCACGGTCATGGTCGCTCACCTAAACTACTCAATGCCAATGCTCTCCTATTGGAGGGGGAAACATCCGCTGTTTCTAGTCCGCTTCGCCCTTCGTTTCTTTTTCCTGGGCATTTGCTAACCAGCCCTCTGTTATCAGAACCTTACCTGTTTCACAGCGTATTATTCCTTGCCCGACTCCATCGCTTGCTACCCGCCTAGCAGACCTGCCAAGTGCGCCCCGTGATTCCTTTTCTCAACGACAACAGATAAAACCCTTCTCATCGACCCGGCCTGGGCTGAAGATGTCTTCCAGCAACAACTCCAACTCTCACCCAATTCCCAGCATGGCCGCCCAAAATGAGCAGAACACGGCTCCCGGTATGTTCAATCCGCTTCATGTTTTGACCTCCAATGCCCCTCTAGCCCTCCTTTATTAACGTTTCTGATAGATAGCTACCAGCTGGCCATGGCCAAGAATAACATCTGGGCCACAAAGCTAGACGAAGAACAGCCAGATCTCTTCCCAAAGCTCGCCTCAGGACAATCTCCGGAAATATTGTGGATCGGCTGTGCTGACTCCCGTTGCCCCGAGACCACTGTCCTGGGCCTTCAGCCCGGCGACGTCTTCGTCCATCGCAACATTGCCAACGTTGTGCAGTACAACGACATCTCTGCTGCCACCGTCATTGAATTTGCTGTCGTCTACCTCAAGGTCAAGCACATCATTCTCTGTGGCCATACTAGCTGTGGTGGCATCAACGCTGCTTTGGCCAACAAGAAGCTCGGCCTCCTTGATACCTGGCTCATGCCCCTTCGACGACTCCGAGAGCAACATATGGACGTCTTGAAGGATCTTGAGCTCAAGGAAGCCGCCGTCAAGCTCGCCGAGATCAACGTCGAAAATGGACTGCGAGTTCTCCGTGAGAACAGCGCCGTTCTCGATGCCATTGAGGAACGAGGTCTCAAGCTGCACGGTGTCATCTACGATGTTGGCAGCGGAAAACTTAGAGAGCTGGAAATCACCGAGAGCATGGATTCTATCAGCAGACGAATTGCTTCTTTCAAGACAGTCAAGAACGAGGAGTGATACCTCTTCATGAAATGTCATTTTTTACTTTTTTTACCAGGTTGCCTTGGGGGTATATATGTACGAAGTCTTGGTTGTGATCGGCATGGGTGACTTCGAGGTGTTTTTGTCTTTTTTTTCCATTTATCGATGAGGGTAACTATGACGTGGGGTGTCATATGTCGATATACGATATTTGTTCTTCGTGGCTCATGTTCCACTTTTTTATGACTTAGCCTCCGGTAGCCAATTTCCCGGGTGTTGGATGGTATATAGATAGCACTTTTTGGTCACAGTAGCGGAGTATTCTAGATGCAGCCAGCCTATTGCAAAATAACTGCGTGATGATTGATATTGGTCAGATAAATTACCGGTTTTTCGTGGTTATAATTCGGCATGTGTAAAAGACTAACTTGGGCCATGCAGTTGCTTTTGCAATTGATTGCACGTGGCCTCATATTTGCAATGGATAAGTCTCATGGACATTTATGGCATCGTCTCCCATCTCGAGTAAAATAAAACTTAACACTTGATATGTGAATGCTAACACAGATTGTAGAGTTCCACACATCCCGAACCCTAACTATAGGAATAGTCAATGCTATGATATAGCCTCGTTTTAACACCGCTGTCTGCCTCCTCCACTGCATGTGGTACTAGATTGTACCACGGTCGACACACAAGCTCGTGCTACTGCCTTATTTGAAAGATGGAAGTGAGCTGCAGTAATAATGTATCTACTTCCACTGCAAACTCTCCTTTCTCTTACGGAATGATTGAGAATGTCGGAAGGGGATAATTGATACTAAGGCAGTTCCAGTTTAATAACTATTTGATGTTAGTGCAAATGATTACTCCATTAAGAAATGGCCAATCTTACAGATACACGAAATAGATATATTGCTGACATATATAAATATTGAGTAAAGACGGGTATTTTGTGTGGAATTAGAAAAGTGGTATGTTATCTTCCGTTTCATCTTTGCTGCCTAAATATTTTAGCAGTTAATTATATAGGTCTATAGAACTGGATGGCATTTTATGGGACTAGGCTTAGCAATACTTACAGCTTTCAACGATTTGCTTAAGTAAATTCAACCCTTTTGCAACGACTCCTAACCTACTTCAATTCTGATGCAGGAAGGCCCATATTGAACTGCAGGGAATCCATCCGCACTTCTGAAGTAGGTTATATACGCTGCATGCTAAATTTTAAATCCATGCTGGTTCTCGCCCCATTCCTAATAAGCCAGTGTAAGTGCTAGAAAGTACAGTCGACGTTGAGAAAAAATAAGAGCAGACTCACGCCTAGCACCCTCGCCCCTGTAGCTATCACCCCTATTACGGCGTCCTTCAAAACGGTTAATAGCGATTTTATCGGATAGGTTGCATCGTTTAGGTCATACAAGTCCTACCTCGTTGTGGGATAGAGTGATAAGCGCGAATTTGTCGGTGGTCAGATTGCCCTGATGAGCCTTGATTTTATAAACGGCTTGTCAATAGGTGGGTACAAAACGGGAAGGATGTTTTAGGTAGTGGGAAGGATCATTTTTTCAGGTAAACAAACCTTGTTTCTTGAATTCTCTCGAAGTGGAAGTCTGTTCGTTGGAACGTGCAACCTTCCGTTGGCAGCTGCTATCTTCTGGGGGCGGGGTGTTGCTACGCTTGAGCGGTGAAGGTTGGACCCGGTTATTAGTTGGCTGTAAACTAGATGTGTTTTCAGCTTTAGCCTTGAGGCACTCGTCCGAGACTGTTGGAGTCCTTTCGGCAGGACTATCAACCGGTAGTTCAACCGTTCGAGAGCGCATTGCTGAAGAGTCGGAGGGCGTAGCACTCCGGGCTCCTGCAGGCATCATGCAGGGAAACAATGACTGTGAGAGCCTGGAGCTGGATATATTAGTAAAAACTCGTCTTTTACGCCATTCCTCATTCATGAGTTCTGTCAATTTTTCGTGCACGGCGACTATTTCACGACGGCGTGAAATTGTCTCTATACGATATTCTTCATCGTAATACCCAGTGAATAGTAACCATAAATGAATATCTTGCTGAGTTTGATGATCCAGGTTTTGGAATTCTGGCTGGGGTATACAGAGGCTCTGGAGATCATTTGGGGGAGTAGTAGAGGGCGGAGTCTCCTTCCCTCCTTGTAAAGAGCTTAAAATAGGCGATATCAGTGGCATAAGCTGATTATAGGTAGGAGAGGATTTTATCTTTCCGGGAGAAGGCTGTTGTAGGCTTCCATGCGGTGGAGTGCAGGGCGGCTGCGGTGCAGGAGGCTTCTCAGGCAAGGGTATAGCAGGCCTGTTGTGTTCAACGTTCCGAATTGTGGCATCAGAAGCTGAAGTATTATCAGAGTTGTCTTCGATGCCCTTACGATAACTCTGTTGCGCTGAAGCTGCGCCACGAATCTGAAGGGAACCATCACTGGTCTCATATGGAGGTACGGGACCAGTATTGTCATCTCTAGAGGTACCACAATGGCTGGAAACTACCGCGGCCTTTCCTTCGGCTAGCAATGCATCGATATCATTTTCAGAAGCTTTATTGTAGTAGGATGGTATGTAGGTGTCACATGAATTCCGCAAGAGCTTTGTGTCTGCTCTGGCTGGTGTGCCTTGGTGTGCCTTCATTGCTATAGTTATGGAGATAACAGTGAGCCTAAGCAATTAGTAGATGGTCAGGACGCCCAGATGTTTGGAATTGCGTTTGTATCAATTGGTATAGATGTCGTTGAAGTGAAGACGCGTCTTTAAAGCCTGGTCACAAATTGTAGCAATGGGGTTTTCTCGTGGAAAACCAAGATTGCTCAAATTATTTGGCAACTTCACAAATAAGCGCTATTAGTATCTTATTTGATACCTTTGAGTATTGTATCTGTCACTGTTCCAAGTGACTCTGCTGTGAGTTGAGTTCTCGATCTTGGATCACAGTTAGGAGCCTAAGAGGGTATTGGGAACGAAAAAGGCCTGACGCGCCGTTATTCACTTTTCCGGTATAACAGGTATCGTACCAGTGTATAAACAAGACTATTGAGGTATATTAGAGGAAGAAAAAAAGCTGCCTCCTTCTCTTCTCTGTTCTAATCTTCGGCTTCGTCTTCTTGGTCGTCTTGATGTTTTCATCGCCTGCGCGAAATTGATATCACATGACTTCATGGGTTCCATCCAATCTGATTGGTCATTTTCTTGAGACTGCTATGGCCTGCACCTTTACCTGCATAGATTCTAACAGAGATATGATCGTGGGATATTAAAAACGCGAGGACTTCTCGATGGAGCTCATATTCACGCTTTATAACCTTTTAAAGTCCAATCACACCTCTCACTTCAAGAATCATAATATGGGCATTTCTCGATCCGCGATGAAGAGCTAGTTATTATATCACCACGTTTAACTACGCACGTCAAGAATGGAAAATTTATCGTGTCTATACCCATAACAAAGGAGGTCTCGTTCCAGTCACCAATAAAGGGCTTCAGCTTCTCAAGCTGGCCATCTGTGAATGTGGACTGAGAAGTCAGGCTGTGGGCGGGGACCGTAAAATGGGATGCCTTTACTCTACTCTTTACTCACAGCTGCAATTAAGTGTTTCAGATAGGTGGCATTATACATCGCTAGAGTTTTAGCAGATGGCACAATCAGTTGTCCAATATCTCGAATAACCCTACTGTCGTTCCCGCATTGGGTCTTTTCGCAGGTTGTTTCGAATAAATCGTCTCGAGATAGTGGGTTTGGGATGATGTTAAGCAGTGTTTTGATAAAAAGATATCAAACCGCTAGGCAAAAAGGGGAGACCCTTAAATGACTGGAGAGCGAGTCGTTATACCATTGGCAGGAAGCTACTTGCATTTATAATCCCACGGCTCGCTTTCTTCATAAAGCTGCCTTTGTGTCAAGAATCGTCTGATATCGAGGATTTCCGTATGGAGCCCTCTTTTCCTCTCTTGGCCTATCTTCACTTTGCTCTTTACAGCGGGAGAAGACGTCAACGTGTTCCTTCGAAGCAGGGAGACCACCCTGATATTCTGGTTAAAATAACTCTTTGACCAATGTCCTCACTGGATCCAGTTACGCATTGGATTAATATTGCCCCCAAGGTTTAGGGGTTTAGATTGTTCTGGTTACTACTAAGTTTGCTTCGGATAAAAGATAACATACCCCTTTCCAGATATATTGTTGGTTAATGAGGAATACGGATGTTCATGACATACATGTTGTAAACGGATGCTTCTGCGAACAGGTGATTGTGGAGGTTATGTGGTATCTCAGGGTTGCTTTGCAATTGATGGTTAGTTAAAGTAGGCCAGCGGAAATAACAGCCCACTTGATAGAGGTCACAGTTGGATGGCTACCTTGGCCTTTCCTTTCCCATTTTCGGACGTTGCCTCCGCTCAACGGCCAGGTTTTTGGTTTCTGGGACTCGTAAACATGTGGAGGGGAAGAGGAAGAAGAGCCAGAGTACAACGATGGCTTACAGATCAAGCGCTCACGCGCTCAATCAATCTGTCTAGTTTATAACTAGTTTCATGAACTAGACTTGCTAACTACTAGTTTGGGCTACAAAATCGAAGGCACTTACTGATTGGTGAATACATACGTCATTCTCACTAGTATTGACCATATTAAATATCGTCCTCTATCTATACAGCAGGCCCGATTTATATAGTTAATAGGCGCATAGATAGAGAAAACTTTGCCATCTAGCTCACGCTTCCCTTCGTTTGGGTGTTATGATCCATGGGAGTAGACGGGCGGATGCTGCGGCTACACCGATCCGATGAGCCGAGGTTCATTTCATGGATGGAAACCTGCGGAAAGTCTAAAAATTATGTGCAGAAATTGTGCATCCATAACTAGCATAATAAACTTTATGTCAGGAGACTCGGCGGGACGACGGGACAGACCAAGAGTGAGATATCAAAAAAGGAGGCTTGCTGATGAGACGCTATGCTATATACATCAAAGTGACAAAGGGGGGAGGGTATCATATATATTTATATAAACAGAGCTAGGCTGGGTTTTATATACTACCTTGCCTTCGGGGTCTTCTTTGCCCTGACGGCACCAAGTAACGTGCCTAGCTTCCGCCATCCCTTCTTTTCCCGACTTCCAGCGGAGGAAGTAGTGGACTGGTCTGGAGTTGAAGCCCGGTCTCGTCCGGGAGAAGTGGCGCCGCGGACAGGGCTGGATTGCCTGCTGTTATGTTTGGGTGTCTGACCTTGTGAGGAGTGAAGATTGCTGTAATGAAGAGGATCATTCATCTCGTCGGGTGTTTCAAGGTCGGTCAGATCATGGATTGTTTGAACGGGTCGGTGGGGGTGGCTTTGAGGAGAAGATTCCTGGTTTGCGGAGCAAAGCATGCTGCATGACCTTGTATGTGTTGGTGTAGAGGGACCGCTGCCTTTACTGACGCCATCGTCAGAACAGCTTCGGCGAGGGGACTGTTTCTGTATGGAAGATGATCGAGTATGGGGAGCTGTTGCACGTCGGCCCTTCTGGCGGATGCGAGATGTTAATGATGTTCGGGTATTAGTGCGGTTACTATTGCTGCGAGTAGGGAGTTCATCCGGTTGTGTTTCTCCAACGCCAGCGTTTGGAGGGCGCTCTGCGGCTACGACTGAGGATGGTGGGAGCTGACTGACGCTCAGGCCGTTGCTGGAAGAAGATTCAATATTACTTGTAACAAGTGGGTTCCCAACCCAGCCTTCCTGAAACGCTACCCAGATCCCAGTAATCGTGATAAGCTGTCGGATCTTATCGTCGATTACAACCGGGCTCTGTCTCGTCGCGGTTTCGGCTGGAGCGGACTCCGGGCGTTGGTTCGTTTTGCGGTCGGCATAAACAGATGAAAGTGACTCCTGGTCAAGTACTTCAATTCCAGTCCGACACAGCCAGCCTATAATCGGATGACGACGAGTCTGCGGATCGATAATGCTGAATGTAAGTCGTTTCCCTCCCTCCGGGCCTGGTGACTGTCGGCCGGCCCCTTGAATCGAGGTACTGCGATTTCTCTTGCCACGAACAACCCAGCGCACGCATTTCTTAATTCCATGTTCATCCGTAGCAGTAAACTCGTAGCTACCATTAGGTAGAGATTCCGATATCCAGCATAGGCCATCGGCAAGGCAGATTTCTGCGGTTGGCTTCGATTTTGAATCATCCTTGCGAATTTGGGATATGGTTGCAATGGGTTCACGGTTCTCGTTTGCTGAATCACCCTCGGGGCGCTGTTCCTCATCACCAGCTCCAGCTGGCCCGTATGTATCACTTGGTAGTACTATTAGGTCGGATGTGCAAACTCGATCCCGTGCTGCAAAGGGACCAGATATTTTTCGTTGAGCACGCCCTTTGAAGAGCGAAGATGGAACAACATCGAGGACGGAGATGGGACGAGAAGTGTTTGAGACTTGTTGGAGTTGTAATAGTAGCCTGGGACGAATGCGTAGTCTTTTGTGTCGAGTAGTTGGCGGAGGATGTGCGAAACGTAGTATGGTCTTAGACCGATGGGCATGCTTCTTTGATGCGCCGTCGACAGAGCCATCTACGATCCCACATGCATCTGGACTATCCGAGCCTGATTCTGTGTGCGCGACGGTTTCTTCCATGGCTGTGGGCTCTTGGAATATCACAGATCCTGATGGTACGATGCTCCTGTAAGTGTTGGTATTTTGGGCCATGGGTGCCTGGCTCTCGGATTTCGAGGTAGAAGACGGGGCAGAAGCCCCCTGCTTCGTTAGGGAGGCAAACCCGAGAGATAGAATCGATCTTGCAGACGGGAAGAAAGTAGACGAAGCTCCTTGCTGTGTCTCTGGAGAGGCCGAGTATTCGTGTCGGTGCACGGCTGCAGCATCAGCGGTAATCCCTAGATTGAGCTGCATATTTTGACGGCGAGAAGTATAAGATCCTTCTGCAGCGCCTTTGCCTGACTATCTCGTCTGTTTAGGGATACCCAGGATCCAAGTTCAAGCTGTGTCTGATGTTCTTGCTCTGCGTGCGAATATTCCCATTGGGCTTCTTTTCCTAGGAAGGTATAAGATCGCGTGTTGTTGTTTGCGAGATGTTGAGCATAACCAACGAACGCTCTGCCAGCAGCGATAAGCTCGATGACCCGATGTCCGCCTGGATCACAGAGTAGAGCTAGAGGAAGAGATATATTCCAGGTTTGGTTTCCCTGCTATCGCATTGTTCTGTTGATCACAGCAACTGCTCCCTATTCATAATTCCACATATATATTTCCGGCGACGTCGTGCATGTACACTCCGCTAACGGATGATTCAAAGCAGATCAATGCAGCCTCTTATCTTCCGAAGCTATCAAGTTTAGTAGCTGGAGAATGACTTATATATCAAAGGGTGTTCCTGTTTCAGAATGTCCACATGGGAACGGAGGTTTGTACCCGTCGCGAACCCGTCTTTGTACAACGCCCTCACCCCCCACGGCGAAACCAGGCGAGGTCTTGGTCTTATATAGTTAACTTATGTGATTAGTGAGACCCCTGGTTCGGGATGATGATCAGTTCACCCCTCGAGAAAAAAGGGGAGGGGGTCAGACGGAGGCAACAATGTTTTAAGACGAATGGAAATAGGGGAGCAGAGGAGGGCTGCATCGATCCCACCTTGACCCAAGGGCAGGTCTCTATATAAGAAAAAGGCTGAAACATACATTACAGGCCTCACGGCCCGGTGCATCCATCCCTCGAATCCACCGGGGTCAACGACTTTGTTCCATCTCTTGGACAGGATGCAACATCTCCTACAATGCCGTGCTCCGATCAGCCTCATAACTGGGAACTTATGCAGAAGATATACGAGATATGGCCCCTTTGAGTTCGTCCGGTGGCACTGCGTGATTCTCGCCTGAGGCCTGATGAGACATGAGACTCTCTGTACGGGCTGAGCTGCGGACACCACACATTTGCTAGGGACACCACAGCTAATTTACTTTAGGTTAGCGCCATACACTCCTTTATATAGAATCTTACTAGAGGTAAAAAGGTACTTCTCTTACTTACTTTCTACTCTTTACTATATACATACTCTCTTTCCTTACTCCCTCTTTACTTACTATCTACTCCCCTTTATTACCTTATATTCTCTTTTACCTCCTCCTTCCTTCTAATAAGACTTAGGGTAGGGTTAGGGTTAGGCCTTAGGGGGGTTAGTTAGGGAGGGTAAGGGAGGGTAAGGGGGTTAGTGGGAGTACTTTTATTCTTATATAGAGGAAAGAAAAGAGAGAGAAGAGGAGGGAGAGAGAATTTAGTTCTTTTTCTTTTTTTTCTCCCTCTTCCTTCTTCTATCTCTCCCTTTCTTTCTCTTCCTTTTTTTTTTTTTTTTTTATTTTTTACCCTCTAAGAAGTACTCCCCCTTATCCCCTTACCTCCCTTAGCCTCCCTAACTAACCCCCCTAAGGCCTAACCCTACTCTAAGTCTTAAGGTAAAAAAATAAAAAGATAAAGGAGGCAAGGGGGGAAAGGAGGTATAGTAAGAAGAAGTAAAGGTAAGGAGAGAAGTAAGTCTATAAGGTAAGAAGTATAGAGAGAGAGGTAACTAGTAGCAAGAGTAAAAGAGTAAAGAGAGAAGAGAAGAGGTACCTTTTTACCTCTGGTAAGATTCTCTGTAAGGGAGTGTATGGCGCTAACCCAAAACAAACTAGCTGTGGTGTCCGCAGCAGAAGTGTGGTGTCCGCAGCCCAGCCCTCTCTGTACTCCGTCTCTGCACGTTAACCACGGATCCAAGCTTGCTTTTTGTCCAAGCAAAAACTCTTATTTCGTTCTCTCCCTTTTTTTTTTTTAGCATTTAGGCCAATCATGAAGGCCCCGCCTCATCCCTGCGAGAGTTCCCTTGGGTCTTGGTCTCTGCTGATCCTGAAAAACAGGCTGGACAGGCTGGCGGCCATGTGGACTGTCCGTTCGGATCCTTTAACACGCGACGTTCCGTCCAGTTGTACTCCATAGAGAATGACGGATTGTCATTGTTGTCATCGCCGTTGTCGTTGTTGTTGCTGCTGTTGCTGCTATTATATATAACTCACGTATATATGAGACTTGGGTGGAACGGCATCTCCACGGCTGGATACATACTTCTGCAGACCCGGTGTCCAGCAGTCATTTTTTGGCTTGAGAAAATCTCTCCGTCGAGTTAGCACGCAATCCACTCGATAAAATAATTCCATAACCTCGCAGGACCTAGAACTGGAAGCTCGAACGCCCAAAATTACGCTTTTCATAGGTGGACTGCAAGATGTTCTCGGCGTTGCAATTACTTTCTCTTCTGCTCCACTGCGTCACTGGGTCGAGGAACTCGCCAAAGGTTGTCGGAGCCATTTGATCCAAATCCTCCGTTCGACAGCTTATCGGGGATCGGGCACACGACTTCGCCCGAAACAAGATGGCCTGTGTGAGCAGGCGGACGTCCGTCAAGACGAGGCGGCAGGCAGAGAAAAGAAGATGGGACCTACGGAGTACACGGTGCGGTGTGGTTGACTGTCATAGCAGGGGATCCTCGCTCTCGAGACTGCTGGCTGCCAGGGTCTTAAAGACGGTGTGCACACTGTAGCCGCAGGATCCGCCCGTCTGCTCTGCCCCCATCATACACACTGGGACGCAAGTGTGGGTTCCAACAAGAAGCTCCGTTAGAGCCGGATAGCAAGCTCTCCGTGCATACGGGCGTAATTAACTGCACAAATCGGGCCCATGGCTTGTGCAGAGAGGACGGATTTTACTTCTTCAAGACGTTCCGCTATTTCAACTGTTCCCTGTAACTAGTTATCTCTCAATAAAACAGCCACGCTCGCGGGGCTAGCTGTATCTAGTAACCGTTGCGCCTGCTCCATATATAGAGTGAAGAATCGTCTTTGCTCGTTATCTCGGAGGTGTTTAGAGTAGGGAGCACGGAATAAGGGGGAGGTAACTAAGTAGTAATAATAATGAATAAAAGGAGATATTAAATTAACCAGCCAATGCCAACGAAGACACAAGAAAACGACCAATCAGGGCTCGTGAAAATCAAAATATTAATCTGGGACTTGCAGTTTACGTCGAGCAAAGTATCAAAAACACCAACATCGATGGCTCTGCCTGCTCGATAACCCACAGGTAGTTGCATCAACCGGACTATCTGGCTGGGTATCAGTACAAACAGGCATCGCCCTCAGCCCTTCTATGCAAATATAGAAAATTGCGATGCCCACATCTCGGAAGATGGCGAGCACCGTCGACCGCATTGGCATGCTTGACCAGCCAATCTACACTTTGACGAAATGCTTCTGCCTGTGGAAGGCCGTCTTATTGCTTATTGTCCTCGCTAGCCCAGGGCCGGGATACGACACGTCAACGGCTTTGCTTCTCTCGTCCGACGGAGAAGGTCCCGGTAATCCGGGACCCGGCAGTATGGCATGGCTAATATCGCACATTGGTCTCCGGTTAGCGAGATGGGATTCTATCTACTTCTTGAAGATCGCACAGAGGGGGTATTTGTTCGAGCAAGAGTGGGCGTTTGGATATGGGTATACAAAGTTTCTATCATTCCTGCTTCCTGGTAAGTCGGAGTTATGGACATGTTTAAAAACGTGGGCCTGTTGGTGCTGATTGAACACATAGAATCGCTAAGGAGCCTGCAGAACCTTGCTGTGACTGGAGTGCTTCTTTCAAATCTCTGCCATTATCTATCAGTCTTGGTGCTCTACAGGCTCTCCCAAGCTACATTTAACAGTAGCAGGAAGAATTACAATGTAGTCCCATTTTTGGCAGCCGCACTGCATATCGTGACTCCTGCTGGAGCATTCATATCTGCACCCAACGGAGAAGCTACATTTTCGTTTCTCAATTTCTTGGGTTACTATGTCTTTATTACGGCGCTCAATGATGAGCGTCAAAGCAGTTATTTTCTGAGGGACTTGAAGTTCCTCTTTGCTGGCGCATTTTTTGCTGCTGCCACCACTGTTCGAAGCAATGGTCTGCTCAGTGGCCTGCTATTTGTATATGATGCAGTGTCTGGACTGCATCAGATAATTACACATGGCCCGTCGTGGCATATTATACGGCGTCTGGCTATGGTATGTACTGGTGGTAGCCTGATTCTGATAGGTATTGTTGGGCCGCAATATGTTGCATATAAGGACTTCTGTCTTGCTCGGAACCCGCGTCCATGGTGCAATCGTCTATTTCCAAGTATCTATGCGTGGGTTCAATCCTATTACTGGTAAGTTGTCCCTTCCTCAACCTGATCCTGTGTGTGTGCGTCTTTGTGCATATTTGGGAGTTGGAGTTGGACTGCTAACCGTTATCCCTTCAGGAACGTGGGCTTTTTAAGGTACTGGACCTTCTCGAATATTCCGCTGCTCTGTATAGCAGCTCCTATGATAATTATACTTGTTTATTCAGGTTTACGAGTATGGGCAAACCTCCTACCGATGCTCCCTAGTAAGGAAGATGATACCGCCGGTTACAGTGTGAGATACCAGGCCAGGCTTGCTCTTCCTCAAGTGGTGCTCGCTACTTTAGCAGTGACTCACTATCACATCCAGATTGTGAACCGGATATCATCAGGCTACCCGTTGTGGTACTGGTTCCTGGCATCGAGCCTGGTGACAGAGAATAGAAGTAAAACCTCTTTGACGCCACCTTCCTTGATCAGCTCTCACGTAATCATGCGTGTGATCGTGATGTATGCGCTGATCCAGGGCTGTCTCTTCGCCTCCTTTCTTCCTCCAGCTTGAGCAGCCCAGGCAACCAGAGCTGACGAACGCTTTTTCCGAACCCCGGATGGGGCCATGTAACTACCTAACCTTTACTTAGTTATCCCTCTTGTAGCGGCGTAGATACTTCTGCCTGGCCACCTCGCCAGGCCGAGTGTCCATATAACTCACTTCTTCTTCTTCTTCTTCCTCCTCCCTCTGCCCCCTCAATTCTACTCTTATCCACTCCGAACTCCCCCCTATTCTCTCAGTTTGATATCTGTTGAGCCTCCTCCGCGTAAGGTAGTTATTATGTCATCTTGTCTTGGCGCCTCCAACAACAAAAAAGCTTCCAAAAGTTGTTTTCGCTGCGACCTTTAGAGCTTTAACGAACTACAAAACATCGCCACAAGGTCGATTTTGTGAGGCGGATGAGCTTCGCACCTCCTAAGGCTGATAGCTTCGTTTTGCGGGCTGCATCTGCTGCTTGACGCTGCTGCCGTGGACGAACCATAACCATTGTCCTTGCTGGGTTTGTTGTCACCAACAAGTTGCACACGACCCTTGGTAACTAACAAGTTACTCCGTACCTGACTCGGCACCAGAAGCAGTACACGCCAAATGCTCACGGAGGCTGCAATTTAATTGAAGCTACCAAACTGTGAATAATCGAGCAACCCGGTTAGGGGAGTGAGTAAGAATTCCTTTATAAATCCTTTCCTGGAAACCTTATAGCTCTTAGAATGACTTATTTTGATGGACCCTCGGTTTCTGACGCGGCTTTACAATTTAGCACCCTCACCACCATACCCTCTCTAATACGTTCTACATGCTCGATAAACACGCCCTTGGAAGATGAATACCGATCGATTCCCGGACGTGTTGGCGGCTAGCTTGGCTGTCGTTGGTAATGAGTTCTCACGGGCCACCTCTCCCGGCGGAGAATCAGCACAGCTTAACGGCGCCGTTCCAGAAGATGACCGTTCCAAAAAGGCTCGTAGCCGGCCAAGAACATATCCATACTTCGAACACTCCCCGTACGAGCTAGAGGATGATACGTTACGGCAGAATAACTTTGAGGAGATCCTCAAGCACCTTTACGTGGCCATCGAGTCTGGAGACTTCAACTCCGGGGCGGTCCACTGGACTCGAGAACTTCGAGGTTGGCTATCTCTGAAGTTCGATCCAACAAGAGAACAGCGGACAAAGCTAGTGAAGCTTTACTACGAGCTTGCCCTTGCTCCCGGTATCGAGCCGGCTGTTGCAGAACGCTTTTCCAGCATGTTCATGGTGCTTACCAAGTAAGTACCAACCCTACCTGTCCAACTCGTTACAGCCTCTGCTTACACTTTTTGATTTTTAAGGAGAAAACATTACCTTCGGCCGACCAAGGACTTGATTCTTGACTGGAAACCGCTGTACAGAGAGTTGAAAGTGTTCGTGCTTCCCTCAGAGGCGGGACTCGTACACTCAATGAGCAACAAACGCAATATCAAGACTTTGATAAAACTTTGTTCCTTTGCACAGTTCTATTTTGACCCCCTTGAGCTTCCCAACATGCTTCAAGAGTTTCTCCCCTATTTCACAACCTCATTTACCGAAGGAGCCTTTATTGTAGTAGGGCTCATGAACTTGTTCGTTTCCACAGCACCAGCGCCTCCAGAAAGGCTCGATTTACTCCCACAACACTACCTTCCAACATATTTCCACCTTTGGTCCCTGGTAAACCGCTCTAGGACATTTGATATGAGTTTCCTAGATATTCTATCTCGATTAGCTCGCGATTCTCTCCCTGCTAAACATATTCCATTTTCTGAATTCGGAATTTTCACTGAGGAACAAACTTCCCTTATTTTCACTGCTATCCTGAGGCTGCTTGAAATTCCAGTCGGACAGGCAACGTCTTCCTACAGCGAGGTAGTTGACGTGTCTGCTGGATTGGCCATCATGCTTGATCGGGATTCAAGAAACCATCCAGTCACACATGACATTGCTAGATGGACTGTCATGTCTCTCTCTCCAGCCTGTGCAGAGTCCAAAGACTCGCTACTTAGCCGGTTAGAGGGCCTGATACAAGCTGTGGAAACATTTTTCCACCCTTCAAATTCAGGATCATGGACAAGGACCCTCTCAGAGCTGGTTAACTACCTTGCAGACTTCTTTGTCATGCGTTGGAACCGGGAACGAAACGGGGAAATGGAAGTTCCCCCAGAGAGACGGTTGAATGATGCAGTTAAGCGCCGATTTGTATTATGCCTGCGAGATGTGATATTCATGGGTATCTATGCTAAAAGTGGTACGGCCATGAACTTCTCTCTCTCGACCCTTCAATCCTTGGCGTATCTAGAGCCAAACCTTATTCTACCGGGAGCTTTGCAACGAATCTACCCATCTATGCAAGGCCTAGTAGAGGTCCACAGAACTGCGTCCTCTCTCCGTTCCTTGCAAGTCTTATCAAGAATCATGGTGCGGACAAAAGGGTTCCGCTGCCATATTACCACCTTGCTAGGTTTGGCTTTACCTGGAATTGACGCAAATGATTTGGGCAAATCACTGCATTCCCTTGCATTTATCCAGTCTGTGTGTTATAATATACCCTTTGAGGACCTCACAAAGGGCCGTGATGATGTTAATGGGAACATGCTTGCCGTGGAATGGGTTACTGGAGAGTTAGAACGCATGGAAGAGCAAGGTGCCTCTGTTGAAATGAACTACGACACCGAGCTCTCTGATGAAGATGAAGAAAAGATACTACGTTCGTCCACCACGGAATTTGGCGAGTTTCTCATCTCGTTCCTTGGCCGTGTTTTCACGCTGCTAGAGAACTTGCCTGATGCAGCGCGAGTACGGAGCGGTTCCCCTGAAGAGAACGTCCTCAACACCTTGCCCGCCACTTTCCTGCCTCTTCTATCTACCCTTTCTCCAGAGTTATATGACATAGCTCTCAATAAGATCGTTAACTTTGTTTCTGATCGGGTTATTCACCAAGCACGAGATGCAATGGCTTTCATTTGCAATTCTCTTTGCAAGGTCAACCCTGAAAAAGCACTGAAGCGCTTCATTCCTTTACTCATTCGAAATATCCGCACCGAAATCGATGAAAATGGTGCAGCATCTACAAGAACAACAGGAACTGATGTTTTGCCCCGCGATCGGGGGCTGGTATGGAATATCAGTATGCTGAGCATGTGTGTAGTCCATGTCGGGGAAGCCATTTTGAAATATAAACAAGACCTCCTCGACATCGCACTGTACATGCAGCGAAAGTGCAAGGGTATCCCTACCATTCATATTTCAAACTTTATTCACCATCTTCTTCTGAACCTTACCATGACTACTATTGTGGACTACAGTATGTACGAACCACATCTATACCCTAAAGGCATTCAGGTTGAGCAATGGGGCCAGAAACAAGACCTAAGCAATCTTAGCGTCAATTGGCATGTTCCACAGCGAGAGGAAATGGAGTTCGCCGTTGAACTATTTACATCTCAGGTGGAAGCCGCATTGTCTTCCTTAACATCCCTGATAAGTGACACACCAAGCATCAAGCGTGATGGAAGTGGCAAAGATTGGTCAGATGAAGTGACGAGGAATATAGTGCTACTCAGGCTAATCATAGCTGGAGTATCGGCATTATTTGATAATAGGGCAGCTTCGAAATGCCGTGAAAGCGAGGTTCCTGCCCAGGGTGGTGCATACGTTTCCCGAGATGATAATATGACCACCAAGGGTGAAGAGGCAGCTGATGACACCGACTCCTCCTTGGACATTTCTGAGGAATCTGCTATCCGGCCTTCTTATCAGTATCCAGCTGGATATCTTTTAACAGAGGATGACCCTCTCTATACTGCCATTCACGAAATTAGGGAACGAATTGGCCATGTTCTACATAATGTTCACAGATTCTTGGTTGATAAGCAAGAGGATGATGTAGCCTGCTTCTCCTCACTATACACTGCTTATCGATGCTGGTTCATCGACGTTGGTATTGAGCGGTCTGCTCACCTGCTGGACCGTGTTTCAAAACTATATGGCGCTGATATTCACCCGTACAAAATGAGCGGCATAAGGAAGGATTACCCTCGCCCATTACTTGTACGCCGGGCATATGTGTATCATCTGCAACGGTTGCGTCACAATGCAGCTCCTCGACCACGGTCAAAGCTGGATACTGTTCTTCTACTTGACTTAGCCGAGTCTAGTGTATCGATATACACTGATATTAGACGAAATGCCCAGTCAGCTTCGGAATCAGCACTTCGCTCTATCTGGGGTTCACGAGTTCTTCTGATTCGACCACTGATCAAGGCCTACCAGATGGCTCTGAAAGCCAATGAAATCCCCCGTATTCAGGGTGCGATTTATTCTTTAATGTATAGCAGTTTGGCCAAGCCAGTGGGCCGTCACTGGAAGTACACTCCTGCTCTCATAAGGGCATTCCTTGACACCACCGCTGTCGACAAACCATCCATCCAAAAGCTCTGCAGTGGTTCGCTTTTCCAAATCGTGGAGTACGGACATACGACAAATAGGATGGCTATTCTTGACCAGGATATAATCCGAGCGATTGTCCCCACTGATGAAATTATGGCGTCCCAGATTGAAGCAAAACGGAAATCCCTTGAGAAAAAGTGGCATTCTGTTGAGAAGAGAAAGCTTGAAATGGCAGAAGAACTCGTTGAGTTGGCCAAAGCATCGCACTGGAAGAAGACAATTCGAACATCTGCAATTGCCTTTACCTTGGGGCTACGTTTTGATCACATCGCTAGTGAAAATTTAATTGAGCTTATCATTAAAGGCTCCGTGGACTCTCACCCAGGCCTGCGTTGGATGTATGCTCAGTCGTTGACCGCACTTTTCACCATCATTGAGATCAGGGCCATTTGTCATCATAATTACAGAGACTACATCCTCGGGAATTATTGCCTCCCATCTAAAATACAAGTCCCGACGAACCCTGAAGACCCCAATTGGACGGCTTCCTACCTTGCAAGCTTCGCAAATCCCGAGGCGGAGTATTATATCGACCATGACCACCCTGGGTTCTTAGTCTGGAATAAGACAATGCCGGCGTACAAAGCCAATGTCGAAACTGATATTGTTTTTGACTCACTTGAATGGAACATCCGCAAATTTATGGGAAAGCTCTTCACCCGGGAGTGGATTTCGACTTACTTCACATATCTTAAACAAGAGCCCAGAGATGCCTCTACTGATAAGTTCCGGATGTCGACTTCTTCCCTGCTAGTATACATATTCCAACTTCTGCTGCGCGATGAACTCACTGCAGTTACCTTCCAGGAGATTAAGAAGGAAATAGAGATCGTCTATGAAGATGGCAGTGACAAACATCAACATCGTGCCACAGCCGAAATATTGGCAGGTCTTGTTTGCTCGGCGACTGATATCAAAGTCCAGAAGCGTACAGAGATATGGGAATACGCCTTTGGTTTCTTCCAAAAGATATTTTCCGACGCACTCACTCCAGAAAATTCCGACTATTGGTCCAGCTGCCTTCGAATGATTATGCAATGCAGGGACCCTCGCCGCTCCTGGCCTTTGGTGGATTGGCTATCTAGTTTCCGCCTGGATATGACTTCCAATGCTGCCTTCAAGGAAAGTTCAAAAATCAACTTACTCCAACGATGCATTGTGGATTCCGGTTGGCATTTCCAACTCGAGAAGCCCATTCTCAGGGACTTTTTAGCTCATCTTGACCATCCATACAAGGGAGTCCGTGAAGCAATGGGCAATACGCTTGCTTGTATCTACCGGACACGATACCACGAGTCCTATGCAAGCGTTGACCAGTTGATTGAACACCAAAAGAAAACTTCATCAACTGGTAGTCGTGCCTATAAACCGACCGATGAGTTCGTGGCCACGATGACCGAAGTCTTTGATAGGATTGAACAGTGGCGGCACCAGAGGAAGCCTGGCCAACAAACTCCCTCCTCCTATACATCCGGCTGTAAAACGGTTTTGCTATGGCTTGATTCGACATTGTACTCTTACGAATGCACTCAGCTCGTGCAATTTTTCCCAGACTTGTTCACAGAGCAACTCCTACATATGATGGACGTTAAAGAAGACCCTGAGCTGCAATCCCTGGCATACCACGTCTTCCGCCATCTTCCAAACATTCCACATCCCAGTGGTGAAGATACCGACTTTATCAATTCTCTTATCCGAATTGGCCGCACCTCTCCGTCGTGGCATCAACGTCTCCGTGTCATGATCAACATGCAAATCATATATTTTAGGAGATTGTTCTTGTTATCCAAGACCGATCGTGAGAATCTTTTTGAATGTGTTGCCAGTATGCTTTCCGACACACAGCATGAAGTTAGGGCGGGGGCATCTGCAACACTCTCTGGCATGGTCCGATGCTCACCTGTGGCTCTGCGGCAAGATATGGTCATGAAGCTGCTTGACCGGTTCACAACTTCTCTTATTCAGCATCCCTTACCCAAGAAGCGGAGAATAATCTCATCAGGATTCTCCTCCGCTACATCTACTGGTGCAAATACTCCTACTCCGGAACATACCAAACTTATCATCACACGCCATGCTGCTGTTCTAGGTGTAGGAGCTCTGATTCAAGCTTTCCCATACACCAGTCCCCCACCAAGCTGGATGCCCGATGCATTGACAACTCTTAGTACGAAGGCTGGTGGAGACCCTGGCGTTGTTGGACAAAGTGTGAAAACGATAATCAGTGACTTCAAAAAGACTAGGCAGGATACATGGCATATAGATGTCAAGGTAAGTCTATGAAAACTCGATTCAAGCTCGGGATTTGATACTAATAGGTTTTGCTTGTTAGTCCTTTAAACCAGACCAGATTGAAGATTTGGCTGGAGTCTTGTGGAAAAGTTATTTTGCTTAAGGTAAAAGTCTTACTGCCGAAAGAGGCCAAGGGTGGAACACTCTTGCAATTGTGTTTCTTGTTCTGCTAGGTGGAAAAGAAGGGATTGAACCTTGTATTAACTACTTTACGCATGGATCTGGATGTCTATGAGTCATGGAATTGTGGTTTGTGGTGTTGGGCAATGATTAACTGTTGTATATCCATACAAAACCTACAATAAAGTAAAAAGTACCTTGAGTATAATCCAGTTAAGTGATCTCCCATTTCGTCAACCACTTGAGCAAATCTCTCGCAGCTTGACTACGAGCATGACACGGTCTAAGAGTTATTACAAGCATTAACTCCTAGTACTTCATGCTAGATATGTGTATCGTACCTTCAACCAAATTAAACACATTCCATCCGCTCGAAAACCGCTGGTTGCTCCACGACAATTGTCATTCCAGGTCGAATGTCACCGCCAGCCTCCACGACTCCCATTATTCCAGCCTTGCGTTCAATAATAGTTCGGTTAGCGTCTCGGACAATGAAATGCTCCTTCAATCCACTTCTGAACTTGTCAATTTGCGGACACGGATTTCTCAGCCCAGTCACTGTAACCACCGGACAATCCACAGTCGGTGATTTCTGGTCCACGAAACGGAGCTTTGTCCCCTTGCTGAGAGCTAGAAGGTCTATTCCCTCCGTAGTAATGTTTTCACCAAGCTGACCAGGGTTGACACTGACAGCTTTGAGCACCTCATATGGCATAAGATGGACCTGACGCAGGTTCTGTGGTGGGGGATTGATATGAAGCCTAGAAAGATGCTGTACGTGTGCACCGGAGTGTGCATCACCCTTGACTCCCACATTTTCAACTAGGGTGATATTCGGTACAGTCGATTTAGAGAAATCATGGCTTCCCGAGGCAGAGACGCTGAGAACAGACATGATGAGATGCTCGTTATCTTCCTTCAGTGTGCACAACTAGGATTCTCGACGGTCCTGCTACCCTTGACAGGGCTGAGGAGGGGATATATATACACCCACCCCTCACCATGTTTATTCAACACCACAGCACGGAAGGCTTCCATGCCATCCGGCTGCGCGCTGCCAATCGACCACAGGCGATTTTCGTATTTTTCGAACAATAACTAAATTTGACTTTCAAAGTTTAAGTTTAAGCTTATTATATAATCATAGCTTAGTCATTTTGTAGTCATCATGCACGTGATATCCCTATCTGGTAGGCAGAACGTTTAGCTCGCAAACAGCGACAAGCCCGGTTGTTTTGAAGCCATCCATCTCGACTTGCATTACGCTCTTTTGTCTTTGCTTCGGTAGAGAAGCACTGTTTAATAACTTGGGCTAAGCTACTGGACAGGGCGTAGAGCGCCCCGCTGGCCGTCACGATGAGCCCGACCCAGGACACCCTCTTCCGCTCGGCGGACATGAGCTTGACCCAGCTCTATATAGCGAATGAAATCGGCCGTGAAGTCGTCAGCGCTCTGGGTGAGCTTGGGCAGGTTCAGTTCCGAGATGTGAGGATGCAAAGCCCTTGTTATTCTGGTATATTTTGATGGTATGGTGATGCTGACGTGGGTGGATCGTGGATAGCTGAACGAAGAGACCACCGCATTCCAAAAGACCTTTACCAACGAGATTCGACGATTGGACAATGTGGAAAGACAGCTTCGTACGTGTGATCTTTGTGATGGTCAGCATATATGCCCAAGGTCTCTAACAATAGATTTTCGCTAGGATACTTCCATGCACAGATGGAGAAGGCCGACATCGAAATGCGTCCATCTGAGGAGTTCTCTAACAATCTAGCTGCTCCCATGGCGTCCGAGATTGATGAGCTTGCTGAGCGAAGTGAGAGCCTTGAACAGCGTGTTTCATCGCTGAATGAGAGTTATGAAGCATTGAAGAGGCGTGAGGTTGAGCTCATTGAGCGACGTTGGGTGCTCAGAGAAGCAGGCGGATTCTTCGATCGGGTATTTACCTTGATATCCAGACTCTCTACTTCATAGTTATGATATACTAATCAATTATATAGGCACATGGACAAACCGACGAAATTAGACAGTCCTTCGATAACGATGAAGCTCCTCTCTTGAGAGATGTTGAACAGCAGCCACCAAGAGGCCAGAATGGTGATGCTCATCAATCGTCGTTCTCTGTCATGGATATTGGCTTTGTTGCTGGTGTTATCCCTCGGGATCGTATTGGAGCCTTTGAGAGGATCCTCTGGCGTACTCTCCGTGGCAACCTCTACATGAACCAATCTGAAATCCCAGATCCCATCGTCGACCCGGCCACCAACGAGGAAATCCATAAGAACGTCTTCGTTATCTTCGCTCACGGAAAGGAAATCATTGCTAAGATTAGAAAGATTTCAGAATCCCTAGGCGCCAACTTGCATGCGGTGGATGAAAACAGTGAACTTCGAAGGGATCAGATCCATGATGTCAACACTCGCTTGACAGACGTTGGAAACGTCCTACGCAACACCAAGAATGCACTTGATGCTGAGTTGACACAAATCGCTCGCTCTCTTGCTGCTTGGATGATTATCGTCAAGAAGGAGAAGGCGGTGTATCACGCACTCAACAAGTTCTCCTACGACCAAGCCCGCAAGACATTGATTGCGGAAGCATGGTGCCCGACAAACTCGCTTGGCCTCATCAAATCAACTCTACAGGACGTCAATGACCGTGCTGGCCTCTCAGTTCCTACCATTGTCAACCAGATCCGTACTAATAAGACGCCGCCCACTTACATGAAGACCAACAAGTTTACTCAGTCGTTCCAGCTTATCGTCGATGCATACGGTACCTCCAAGTATCAAGAAGTCAACCCTGGTCTCCCTACTATTGTCACTTTCCCATTCTTCTTCGCCGTTATGTTTGGTGACTTCGGCCATGCCATGCTTATGACAATGCTCGCTATCACCCTAATTCTGTTCGAGAGAAAGCTCGGAAAGACCAAACTTGATGAGCTGAGCTCCATGGCATTCTCTGGCAGATATATTATGTTGATGATGGGAATCTTTGCTATGTACACTGGATTGATTTACAACGATATATTTTCCAAGTCAATGGACCTCTTCCAGAGTGCCTGGTCTTGGCCAGAGGACTTTAACGAGAATGAAACCGTTTTTGCTGAGCTCAAGGGCTCTTACAGATATCCATTTGGCTTGGATTGGGGATGGCACGGTACAGACAACAACCTGCTCTTCACCAACAGTTACAAGATGAAACTGAGTATCATTCTCGGTTGGTCACATGTAAGTGTCGTCTCTGTTTTCTTGCAGCTGTTTCGAAGTTTCTAACGCTATTATCAGATGACATACTCCCTCTGCCAGTCCTTTGTCAATGCCCGCCACTTCAAGAAACCCATTGAGATCTGGGGAAATTTTGTTCCTGGAATGATTTTCTTCCAGTCCATCTTTGGATACCTTGTCTTTACCATCATTTACAAGTGGTCTGTTGACTGGAATGGCCTCGGTCTGCCAGCTCCCGGACTTTTGAACATGCTTATCTTCATGTTCCTACAGCCTGGCCGTGTTGATGATGAGCTCTACCCTGGCCAGGCTACTGTTCAAAAGATTCTACTCTTTGTAGCTCTTATCCAAGTCCCAATACTCCTCCTTCTCAAGCCTCTTTATCTCCGTTGGGAACACAACCGTGCCCGTGCCCTTGGCTATAGGGGCTTGAACGAAGCTGCTCACACTAGTGCTGTGGATGATGACGATGAACATCAAAATCTGATCTCTGGTCAGCGCGACAGCATGGGTGATGGAGAAGAAGGCATCGGAATGGTTACTCAGGACATGGGTGAAGGTGAAGAACATCATGAGTTCGAATTTTCAGAAGAGATGATTCATCAAGTCATTCATACTATTGGTATGTACTTCCCTCGCATTTCTGTTTACCAATTTGGCTACACTTTCCATATTGCGAGCCAGCTGCTGACCTGATAATATTAGAATTCTGTCTTAACTGTGTATCTCACACTGCCTCCTACCTCCGTCTCTGGGCTCTTTCTCTTGCCCATCAACAGCTATCCTCCGTCCTTTGGAGCATGACTCTCGGCAACGCTTTCCTCCAAACCTCGCCAACCCTCCGAGTGATCATGACTGTCATTACGTTCTACCTCTGGTTCGTGCTTACTATCTCCATTCTCTGTGTGATGGAAGGAACCAGTGCTATGCTTCACTCCCTTCGTCTCCACTGGGTCGAAGCAATGAGCAAACATTTCATTGGTGACGGTATACCATTCACACCTTTCAGCTTCGAAGCTATTCTGCAAGAGGATCCGGTAGACTAATGTCGTGTATTCTTGTCCTTTCATTTTGTATCTTATTTCCGGTTTTCTTGTCTTCAACATATTGCCAGCTATCTATAATCACGTCTTTCTTTTGGAAGAACTAGCATTTTCCTTGCTACCCCTACAGTGCGATGTACTATATACACGTCTGCCACACTATATATCCCTGATAAATACATTTCAACTCGTTGAAGCTATCTATCTATCGAACGTCTAGGCCCCTTCGGGTAATGCGGGCTATCTATGCTTGACACATAGAGTACCGAAACTAAGGAGAATCCATACAGTAGCCACATGCCAATTTACCGCAGCCAATAACCTCCCTTCCTTTGTCAATGAAGATGCCACTCGCTTCTTAGAAGCCCCTGCCTTGGAAACTGCGAAAACTGCGTTCCTGGATAGAGGTTCAGTTTAGGCGAGAAGCACTTGTGTATGGTCTCAACCCGTTCTTTTATTTTATTTATGCATCCATAACAAGGGCTGGGTCAACAGGCTTCGACAACAGTGGAAGATGAGAGTCTCTTGATGAAAGGCTGTCTTATTCTAGCATGATGGATATTCTATATCTATCTATGATGCTAGTTAAAAAGTTGAGTTCAAAGATTGTTTAGATATTAGAGAAATTAATTGGTTGCACCGTGGCTACCCCCCTGAGAACCTTTGGCGTCAGCGAATTCCTGTTCTGCGCGCCAAACGAAGCTGCTTTTGCTTGCAAACAATAGATCTAGATCCTCCAAGTGCCTATTTGCCGTCTCTGTGAATAAAGTTAGTATCATCATCCTAACAGGCGGAGTAGTAGTATAAAAAGCTTACCAATGTAGAAAAGGTAGATTGGTACCAACATCACAAGGTTAATAAGAGCAAATAGGATAAAAACCCAGAAGCCGATTGCACTTATCAAATATGGAATAATCATGTTGATGGTACCTCCAGCTACTGAAAAGGCGAACGTAGCAAGGGCGGTGCCTTTGCTTCTTGTTGCTAGTGGAAATACCTCCGTTGGATAAACCCAGCTATTATAGAGTCATTAGCAGTGTTTCACAAGTATGGCGAAAGGTAAACCCACCATGTAGTCAGCCAAGTTGAACCGTAGATGAAGGTGTATACATATAGAATGGCGGCAACACCAGCTCCGAACTTGTTTGCCTTCCCTGGGTCGAGTTCAGCATATTTCAATGTTTGTTGTGATAAGATCCCTCCAATTATGAGTACGATTCCCATGAGAGTACAACCAGACAGCATCATCTTCCGACGGCCAACATGATCGCACAGGTAGATAGACAGTGCGAGTGCAAGGATGTATCCAAACCAGTTCCCTCCAGCAAGTAAAGCAGGGGTATCCCCCTTAAACCCTGAGAAAGCAAAAATATTAGGAGCATAGACAGCAATGAAGTCAATGCCAGTGAACTTCTGCATTATTTGTACTCCAGCACCTAGGAAAACACGACGGCGAGTATGGAGATTGTCCGAAGTGAAAAGCATATTATAGAAACTGGGGTTGGATTCTGATGCCTCGAGTCGAATGGCATCAAGTGTTTCTTCCATTTCGTTATCAATATTCTCTTCATTAGGGTCAGTGCGACATTTTTGTAGAATGGATTTTGCATGGTCGATTTTCCCTGTTTTAGCCAAGTAGCGGGGAGATTCTGGATAGAATGGTCCAAAGGCGAGAAGAACGAGAAGGAAAATGATTTGGAAAGCGTTTGGAAACCTCCAGGCAAAGGAAAGCGACCGGGTCTTGACGCATGCGTATTCTAACCAATATACTCTGAAGCTTCTGTTAGTAGATACTTGGCGAAAGGGCGGAGAGATGAGGGTTCATACAAGGCAGATCCAACCATAGCAAGCGTAAATTGAACAGCAACAAATGCACCTCTCATGTTAGCCGGAGCGAGCTCTGAAGTCCATACTGGAACTATGGTGTTTAAGTAACCGCATCCAATCCCGCTTATAACCCGAGCACAGGCAAACCAAGAAATGTTTTGGGCCGTGGCAAGGAGCACAGCTCCGAGGATTCCCCAGATGCATCCAACCTGGATTGTTTTGAGCCGACCTACTCTGTCTGCTGTATATCCAACCATCATTGCTCCTGCTCGGTTATTTTAAAATTAGTTTTAACTTGTAACTAAATACGAGCAGTATTATTCATTAATGGTAGGGTATAAATAGACATACCAATGGCAAAGCCACCGAACCACAAGCTAACAAGCCCTCCAATCGCTGCAGCATCGCGATCTGTACCGCCAGCAACACCCATTGTTCGCAAATAGTCAGGGTTTATATTGACCTGGGACATAACAGCCGTGTCATAACCAAAAAACATAATCGCACAACCGGCGTATGCATAAATGGCATACACCATTGGCATGCCACTGAGTTTCATGCATCGCGAAGGAGAGTATCCCCCTGGTATATACGACGCAAGTTTTGATTCCGCTGTGGAAAGTCAGCTACTAGTTCCTGTATGTCAATTTTTACTTCTCTAACTTACGCCGAAAGACATTGCTCTCATAAGGGCCCCTATCCAGTTCTTCAGCTCCAGGTGCTCCCCCCATTGCCGGGTGTTGGGTTTGTTTTCGTTGTTAAGCCCTTTGAATAGGCTGATATCACAGCGGAGTAATAATCCCTCCAGCGGTCCCTTTCACAGCTGCTACCCCAGAAGGTGATATGGGTTTTTGCGGGGCGGGGGAGTCTGCTGATCTGCTCGTTTGGGTCAACATCTCGAGAAAACTCTTCCTCCTGTTAGCGATCAAGGCCGGCAGACGAAATGTGGCGACACTACGGCTGATACAACCGTCGGCATCAGAAGCGGACGGAGCAGCGGAAGAAGGGGGTTGTCTGCTTAGTAAGGGGTTATTTTGCGCATTATAGAGCTTGAAGTGGAGCTTGCGGTGACTTTAGCCAATAATCAAGCAGCAACTAAAGTATTTAGCCTAAAACTCAATATCAATATTTGTATTATGTCATCAGATGCTCATATGTACGTTTTTCAGCCTTCAAATCTCTGACAATAAATCTTACAAGTTCGACAGCACATTTTCCTTCAAAGCACAGTATTTGTTAGACGATAAGGATGTATTGTCTGACACTGTGGTGTGCAGTAGCCAGCCTTGGTCCCCGCAGACGACAACGAGAAGTTAATGGTTACTTAATCCACAAAGGACTACTCGGTACCAAGGTTGATGGACACTGCAGTCTCCACAAGAACCTGGGCTCCTTGAAATCTGTTGCTCGTGAGAGGCTGTCGTCTAACTTTTGTTCCGCCGTACCTGGACTCAATTCAGGGTCAAGCTCCACGTGGTAAAAAAAACTGAAAGAGATGTACGGGGTATGGAATAGGTTGAAATGGATGAAAGTCGGCGCAGCGGCCGGGCCAGCTATAAACCGCCTGGCATCAGCACCGTTTTTCATTCTTTTGAATCTCCATGTGTAACATCCAGCAGCTGCTAGGGGAATTTTCAGGCCAAGTGTGAATGCGATTGTGAAAGAGCCTGGATTAGCGCGGTGGTTACCTAACTAACTAGTTAGTTAGCCAACCCCTTTTAAAGCGCAAATCCCGCTCCCCGCTTGAGCGTGGAAAAGGCAGAAATAAGACTTGATATCTTCGGATTTCGTGTATAACACACCATCGAAATTCATGTTTCTCTCGCTCGAGTAACTGTATATACCATCATTTACGGCTGTCCGAGTGTTCTTCCCCATGCCGCAACAAAAACTGGCCGACTCGGCCTTGACACCCCCACGGCTCGACTCACCACCGATCCAACCGCTTGGACGTCTTCTGAAATTTGACGAAACTCCAAGCTGGTTCGAAGGGAACCAGTTCATTCTAACGGGCTATCGCCATGAGTCTCGATCAGCCATTCGCTGCTTGCACAGCTGGACTTACCTCCACAACGAATCCTGCAACATCTACTCTCACCTCTTGCCAGCAGTGGCCTACATTGCTCTGCACTGGTATCTCGTCAACATCTATCTTCCGTCCAGGTATAACACTCTGACCAAAGGCGACGGACTCATTCTCTCCCTTTTCCTTTCAACCGTCGTCTTATGTCTGGGAGCTTCTTCACTATACCATACCTTCTTGAACCATTCCGCGCCAATAGCTAGACGATGGCTATTATGTGACTACATGGGAATCATCACTCTCATACAAGGCTGCTTTATCAGTGGAATCTATTTTGGATTCTACTGCGAGCCTTACCTTCAGCGATTATACTGGACTATGGTGTGTCTACTAAAAGTAGAAATATATACCCAGCTGGATACATCAGCTAACAACCGAGAATTACAGATTGTTGTCCTTGGCTCGTTGACAGCAACTATACTGCTGTCGTCAAAGTTCCAAGACCGAAAGTGGAGAGGATTTCGTGTTGCCGTGTTTGTTTGCACTGGCCTCTCTGCATTTGCACCTATTACCCACGCTCTATTCCTCCACGGACTAAAGCGAAGTATGAATGTTGGCCTGCCTTATTATCTCACTGAAGGTGCCCTAATCGCTTTCGCGGCATTCATATATGAGGTGAGATCTTTCCATGCCGTCTAACCTTCCCCATGCCTATAGGCTGAGATTAGCCTCAGCTTTCCTGTCAAAGCATCCGTGGTTCATGTGTGTTCTTGAACTGATGAGATATCAAACAGAGACAAATTCCTGAACGATGGTTTCCTGGGAAGTTCGATATCTGGGGGCATTCCCACACTATCTTCCATTCTATGGTAGCGCTGGGGATGTGTATACATTTTGTCGGTCTTCTTGAGGCACTTGAATATACTTACTACAACAGCCAATGTACGGTTAGATAGACGTAAGAAGCGGGAAGGAGAAGTAGACATGGCCTCCTTATACTGCCCATAGAAGCATGAATATATAATGAATTCCTTTTACGCATTCTATCATTAACAAATATTCTATGTGTATGTGCAATCTATAATATACCGCCCACTCTACTTCTCTCGGTATACTGACATACTGCTCTCAATGTCAGGTTTTTGTTTACCAACCCCAAGAACTAAACGCGCCTTCCGCCTGAAATACACCCTCTTCGCCAGCTTCCATGTTTCTGCCCCAGCGAAGAACAAGACCGTACCTACCAGAACGATTCCCCATTCCCACGTTATGCCTGTATGACGGAAAACCTTCCTATTTATAACAGGAATGTATAAGAGTGGAACAACGATGACAAATCCAGAGATATTTGCCCAGAACAAGAACTGATTCTGCCAAATATCGCGGCACCACTGCGGAGTGATACCGGACGATGAAGATGAGGGTCTCATGTTGAAGAATGAGCGGCGCATATCAACCATCTCCCAAGCTAGGAAGAGGACGAACCATGTCAAGCATGCGAAGGTAGTTGCTCGTGCTCGGAAGACTAGTTCACACCCATCGTAGACCTTGTTACAGTTTGTTCCAAGGTAACCATCTCCAAAGCCGTAGATTACTAGTGTAAAGGCTCCTAAACACAACGCAGCAACCCAGGTGCCGTAGACAACCATGTCTAACATGACCTCCCAAGTAAAAATGCCACGCTTAATTACAGAGTTAGTAACTAGACTTGAAACCGCCGCATACTAGGATAAAGAGAGATACGATGGGTTTCTAGACTTACCCTATGTGGAGGCCTCTGCATAATATCCATCGTCGCCTGCTCAAAACCGAGCCCCATATCTGGAAGCCCCGAAGTAATCATAACAAGCCAAATAATCTCAACAGGGCTCAATGGGAAAACAGATAAATTATCCGCATCCTTGAACACAAGGCCAAGAAGTAGAACTATGGCCTGTGCGAAATTCTGGGAGAGAACGTGTAATATGAACTTCTGTATATTATCAAATATACGTCGGCCTTCCTCGATGGCATTGAGAATTGAAGCAAAGTTATCATCAGTCAAGATAATATCTGATGCATCTTTCGCAACGTCAGATCCGGCTAAACCCATGGCTATACCAACATCAGCGTTCTTAAGAGAAGGTGAATCATTAACTCCGTCACCCGTCTGGTACAGTTAGCTTATTTCTGATTTGTAGGTAAGTAGGTTGGGGGTTGTGTTACCATGGCTGCAAATTTGTTTCGTCTATGTAGTGCATTAATCATTCTAACCTTGGTATTGGGTGCACATCGTGCCACTACCAGAGGGAGCTCAGGGAGGGTATCAATCTCGGTATCTGATAGCTTATCAAACTGCTGAGCAGTCATAACCATAGAATCAAGGGTGCCTTTACTCAGCATATCGGTATGAGATGGAAGAATTCCTACTTCCGTGGCAATTGCCCTCGCTGTGCTGGGATGATCGCCTGTTAACATGTGGACAGAAATACCGGCTTCATGGCAGCGACGCACTGAAGGAGCGGATTCTGGGCGGGGAGGATCGTAAAGTCCAATCAAACCACGGAAAACCAGGTCATGCTCGACCTCTTTGCGATCCAGGTCTAAATTGTTGCAGTCCATGGCTGAGAGTGGTTTGCTAGCAAGAGCAAGAACACGAAGACCTTGCGCAGCAAAGGCTTCCATATTAGCCAAAATGTTGTCCTTGATCTCGGGGCTTATTGCTTCCAACTCCGAACCGTCAACGCTTTCAATAGCAGAACATGATGACAACACTCGTTCAACAGCCCCTTTAGTAAAGACAAACATATCGCCCGTCGATGATTTAAAGACAGTAGACATTTTCTTGACATCCGAGTCAAATGGAAACTCAGCAAGTTGAGTCCATGCCGGTTTCTCTCCAGAAATTAGTTGAGCACGGTTCCAGTTGAAGCGAGTAGCAAAGACCTGAATAGCGATTTCTGTAGGGTCCCCATGTGTTTCCCAGTCTCCAGTAGCAGCTTCACGAAAAACTGCGAGATTGGCCAGGGATGCAACTTTGAGGAACTCATCAAGTGGACGATCGTTCTCTATTTTGGTATATTCACACTCAGAAGTATCTTTGCTCCTTGTATGATCTATTTTGTGTGGCTGATTGTGTTCAAGGTACAGCTTACCAGCCCTAGGGTTGAATGGCTGACTTGATTAACCGACTGCATAGGTACCTCGTGCAGGTACCCATGCTTTGTGCGCCACCATTTTCCCCTGAGTAAGAGTACCAGTTTTGTCGGAACAGATGTCTTCCAAATGTTAGCTTGTATCGGTGTACAAAAGAAGCAAAGGGCTACTTACCAGTAACTGATCCAAGAGCTTCTAAAGAGTTCAAATTTCGCACAATGACATGCCTTTTCACCATGCGTTTCGTTCCAACAGTCATGGTAATGGTCAAGACTACCACCAAGGAGGACGGTATCATACTTAGGCCGGTGGCCACTGCATAAACAATAACTTCCTGGTGGTTGCTGAATTTATTTGCAGCAAGAACGATAATAGCACAGATGACTGCAGTTCCAAGTAACATGAGCGCAAGCTTGGAAAGCTTTCTCTGCAACGGCGTCCCAACATTTAGTCCCAGAATCTCACCAATAGCATCGTAAACGGTTAAAGAGCCAGCCTGAATATAGCGATAAAAACTAGCAGTTCCGTCTGGGTTACGCTTTGCATGCCTATGCCGCGTACCCTTTGCCCGAAGTGCAGCTGCAATGGATCCGATTTCCGTATGTATACCTATTGAAAAGACGATGGCCCTTGCGCGGCCTTTGGTAACAATGGATGAGCTAAAACAGATGTTAAGACGATCACCAGGTCCAGTATCATCGCTGAAAGTTGCGTCGGCATCTTTCCGCACCGGCAGGGATTCGCCAGTGAGCAGAGCCTCATCTGTCTCCAGGTTGACGGATTCTATGAGCCTTCACAAAGTTAGTATAGCATATATCTACGCCACAGATAGCGCATTAATTACCTTACATCAGCTGGGACGGTGTCACCAGTCTTCATCTCTACTATGTCACCGGGTACAATTTCTGCAGTCGCAATAATAATTTGACGCCCATCCCGTACCACACATGCCGTTGGGGAGCTCAGTGATCGAAGTGAGCCCATAGTCTTCTCAGCCTGGTATTCCTGGACAAATCCAATGCTGATATTGATGATGATGACTGCTGCTAGCACACCTCCTTCAATCCACGCATTAATACCAAAGCTCACTGCCATAGCCATGGTCAAAATCTATTTGCCGCGTTAGTCAGAGACATTCCATGTATACCCCCAAGGGTGGATTTAGGCCTTACCAATGTCATAGCATTTGCAATCTGCCGGAGTAGCATTTTGGCAGGCTGGACGGATTCCGTGTTCCCAAGGTCATTTCTCCCATACTGTTCTGATCGTCTCCGGGCTTCCGAGCTGTTCAAACCATTCTCCGTGTCGGAGCCTATCTCCTTGATGACAGCTTCATATGGAAGACTATGAGCTGGCCGTGATAGGGTGCATTGAGCTTGACCCTGCCCGTGATTCGTAGACTGGGTCTCTCCCATGGCTGCTGCGAGCTGATAGCGAACAAAGAAAGGGTACTGGTACAACCCTCCATCTGCAGCTAGTACTCAGGTAACTGGCTTATTTGCTTTGCTTAAATACGACGAGCAAAATCGTCTAGAGCTTGAGTCCTGAAAAATAAGGTAAGCTCCAACCATGCATAAAGTGCCGCCAAGCTTCCTGATTAGGAAATAATGCCAAGAGGTACATTGGATATAAAGCTTGGCTTGACCACTTGTCTCAAGCTCTGGGAATATAAGAGCAACAACGTCGACGGCGGGAAGAGAGAAGGCAAAGAGGAGATATCAAACGACAATCCAGTCATTTCCGAGGCCCTTCAGCTTCTTAAGCCATCCGCAGGTTGTTTCGACAGCCATGTCCTCCATAGCCCATACTGCCTTCAGCATCTCAATAGCGGTATGGACATAGCCCCAGGGCAGCATTTCCCATAGGTCATTAAGACGAGCCACTATCCAGGCCCGCTGTGCCGGGTCTCAACTTTCGGCACCAGCTATGAAAGTGGGCCAAGAAGTGCCTTTCAATAGCAAGTTTCCGGGAAGGATGAAGGAGAGGTGGCCAATAATATCTTCGACAGTGCGCTTTCTGCTGTCGTCATCCATCAAGTTTGCGGATGGGACGGCTTGATGGATGTAGAGACAGACTGCGGACTTATGAGCCGAGGCTACATGGACACGGCTTTCAAAATCATTGTGGGAGGAGATGCCTTGTACGGAAGCCGCCCAAGCATCAATATTAAATGTTCTAGCTCGCTCCATCAAGTAGCGGGCTTGCTCTTCTTCAAACCCGGTAATCATGTCCAGATTGGATAGATGGGATGCCGAGAGCATTATTTGTAAAAGAAATGCAGGACATGACATGTAGCTGTTGGCCTCTGCACGCTCTAGCAACGGTAGCACATCCAGAAAGGGGTAGCGGCTTGTTGTTGAGCCCATATTTGGCTGTCGAGCGGAAAAGGTCGAACCAAGGATGTAGTAGCTATTTTGTCAAAATATTAAGCTTTCGATTTCTTTTTTGATGTTCCGTAATAGGGTAAAGGTAAGCATTTTTGGGAAAGGGAGGTAACTATTGACTTACATGAGGCAGTCAGAAACGACATGGTCGCGCAACGCACTCATAGCAGACGATAGGTCCGAGCGTTTTGATAAGCCGAAGTAGTCAATAAGTTTCTGGGCACCTTCGACATGTACCTTCCAATCATCCTTTCCAGAGCTCACAAGCTCATAATTAATCGAGAGCAGGATAGCCGTAAGCACGACTTCTGGATCAACAGCATCTATATCGTTCATGGCCTGGTTGAGAAGCCGGAGAGTCTTTTGCTTTGCCATCAGTGCATCATGATGAGGATATTGGCCAGGAACTCCATTCAATAGACCGGGGCCCTTTGACATCACATTTGATATATGAATTGCAGAATTGGCAACGATGACATGCAGCAGGAGTGCATGGTCCCTTATCAGTGGAACAATGCCACGATAAGGATTGTGCCTAGGAACGTCATATGTGACAAGATCACGGCACATCTGGTCCGTAACTAAAACTCGTAGTTAGCTATTTCTGTTGGAAATTCAATTTTTATGCACACATAACAAAATAAAGCAAGGCTATTGATTACAGTGCGAGATGTAGAACCGAGATGCACGGTCGAGATCTTGGAACAGCGGGTCCACCAGGCACGGATTAATTGATACGGAGGCTTCCCCTTCGTCGTCAGAGGCCTCCGCTTCTGCTTCAGCCTCAGCCTCACCATCAGGCATATTGCTAGGGACAAAACGGTACTTCCGGGGTAGGCAAAGTTCCTGGTTCCCGGACGCCGCAGTGGAAGCCGCCGCTTGATCGGGGACATGGAAGGACTTTCCCATCATCTTTCCACGGCTTGCCACGCCTCTGTTCCAGACGAGCAGTTTACCGTAGCCTAGGCACTTCTCGCCCTTCTTAATGCATTTTTGACAGGAGGGCAAAGAACGGTCACACCTGAGTCTTCGACGTCTGCAATTGTGGCATGGCTTTGCCACACCCGCGCTGGGTGCTATGCTAGCACTAGTGCTGTCCGCAACAGTAGAAGGCGCCGGACCCGTCGCGGCCATGGTTATCGTCAGTCGGACAAACTCTTCTCCAGGACACAAGGGGCATAACGTCGTCTGTGAGACGCTGAAGCGCAAGAATTCGACGATGAAGACGAAGCCATCTTGATAGACGACGTCGTCCCGAGGTCTTGGCGCTGGTTTGCCATTTGTGCCTGACTAAGCAGAAACTCTCCAACACCAAAATAATAACACATCAACTAAATACTTGCTGCGGACTCTTTGGAGATATCCTTTTATCGGATGTCTTTTATCTTCAGTAACAGCTGTATATTCAGGTCATCCTTAGCGCGTTACTCAGCGTCGCTTCTGCAAAGTCGACCCGGGGTCAAGGGGGCCGTCACGGCCAAAATAGAACAGCTCGCGGCAACCCCTGGTGGTTTTTCTCTTTCCTGGTCGCACTGCCACCCGCAGCGGCATGGGCCGAAAGGTAAAAATAGGACAACACGACGCAGGCTGTAGACGCAGGATACGATGTCACTGGCTACGGCCCCAAGATACCCTGGTTGATGCAGTGTGAATAATGCATCAAGGTGAATTTATCTTACTGAGTTCCCCTCATTTTGTTTACACCCGTACATTAGTTCGGCAGAGGAGGGGTTACTCCGGACCCTGGCGGACGCGATGCATAGAGGCGTATACCGGCTAGCTTGAAGAGCTGCCATGGGTCGATGTGTTATTGATAGTAGCTCGAGGGGGCTCATCTCCATGGGCTTGCAGATGAGTGTATAGATAAAAGAGGTACCATTTCCTCGTTGGTAGGGTAGGCAATTGACATCAGCTCTAAGTATCATCCTACTTCAATACTCTCAAACAACGTTAGTACTTCTGTACTATTGACTATCACGATTATTACTCTTTTATCATCATGCTCTCTTCACAAACGACCGTGCTACTCATAATAGTAGCTGAGGTGTTGAGCTTTCTAGTTCTCCTGGGTCTGCTGGTAGTTCTATACCGCATTCTTATTGTACGGTATAAGGAGAAGAAAGCATCTACTCCACGGGACATTGGTACGTTAATACAAATAACACTACTCGAGAGTTGGTGTATGTAGGTACTAACACTTCCCAGAAGCATCCCCAATTCCAACTACAAGAACTACGTCACCAGCACTATCCTTAGACAAGGAGCTTCTTCACCCAGCACTACGAATCAACACCAATGTCAGCACCAGCAATTCACCACCCGTGATTCAATCAACGATCACCAAGCCAAGTGCTACTGCAAAGCCTACCAACAAGCCAACGTACACTCCACCAGAGCCATTCCAGTCTGCTAGCGCCCAACTACAATATAAATATCTTCTTTCACGCCTACACACCCGTCCTCAGAGGACACAGGCTCTGCGATCAGAATCTGTTCCTCGTCATTACTCATCTCAGGTCCCAAGACCCGTTAGGCCGATCCATACCACTTTGCTACCGCCTAAGAAACTGCCAGTTATTCAAGAATCGGTGGCTAGGGGGAGCGTGAATGTTGTTTCTCCTTGTTCAGATGCTGTTCGACCTGCTACTTCGGCAGATCAGGTTATTTAATGTCATTTTCGAACTATTTCTCATCTCTTCCTTTGGGTCAAGTTATGCATATACAGGGCGTTGGAGGTTTGATTGCCGGGGATATCACGGAGTTAAAAAAGGCTTGTTTGGTGAGGCAACGAATTATTTTCAGCATAGCATGGCACTGCGCCGGACGATACTACTATTAGAGGAACATAAATTACAATAATCAGATGTATATATTCAAATAACATTTTATTCTTCTTATCGAACTTGGTAATAAACGGATGATAATGATTGAAAACTCCTCGCTGTAATGTAATTTTTTTTGGTTTCAGCTCATTTATTTACATGCTCATCTAGCTAGAGCCAGCAGCTTCGAATCGCTTGTTAATTCCCATGACCTTCTCTACCTCGTTCTTGCTGCCGAGGAAGATTCCGCTTCTGTCATGGATATGCTCTGGCACTATTTCCAGCAATCTCTCCATCTTGGAGTTGATAGCTAGACCACCAGCATTCTCAAAGATGAGAGCCATGGGAGCGCACTCGTACAGGATACGGAGCTTGCCCTTTGGACTCTTAGAATCAGCCGGATAAGCAAAGATACCACCGTACAGCAGGGTTCGGTAAGCATCAGCAACCATGCTACCAATGTATCGGGAGCTGTAAGGCTTCTTGCCGGTTTCGGGGTACTTGAGTTCCTCAAAGTACTTCTTGACCCACTCAGGCCAGTACATTGAGTTTCCTTCGTTGACGGAATAGATAGAGCGGCTGGGTGGGATGCGCATGTTGGGGTGGGTAAGGATGAATTCACCAAGAGCGTTGTCGAGAGTGAAGCTGTTGACTGTTCCTGTCTTCACAGTCATAACAAGCTGTGCAGAGGCGCCGTACATGGTGAAACCAGAGGCAACCTGCTGGGTTCCAGGCAGGAGGATGTCCTTGGCCGTGACTGTCTTGCCGGCTCCGAGGATCTCGTCAGGGAGCTGGAAGATACCGAAGATTGTGCCGACAGAGACACCGGCATCAAGGTTTGAGGAGCCGTCAATGGGGTCGCAGACGACAGCATATCGGGCATTGGGGCTCTCATCGAAAATGATAGCCTGGTCTTCCTCCTCGGAGACAAGGAGACGGCACTTGCCTGATCCCCGCATGGCGGCAACGAAGACATCATTGCCAATCACGTCAAGCTTCTTCTGGTCATCTCCGGTGGTGTTGGAGGAGCCAGCCAGGCCAGTGAGGTTGATCAGGGTGGCACGACGGATGTAGTATGCGATGGACTTGAAGGAGAATTGGAGAGCATGGCAAAGAAGACTACCAAAGCGGTTAGTACACAACAATCTATACAACGGCATCACGCTGCAATTGGGGCAGACAGAAGTTCATACGTGAAGTCACCGGTGG